CTAAAGTTTCTATATCAGTGTATGGTACCCTAGATTTTTTAACATAGGTAATGCATTTGGTTTCTAATATAAGCTCCAATTTGCATAACGGATAGGAAAATTGTGTTTTTATATTTTGCACAACCATTGTATTTGGTTTCTAACATAAGCTCCAATTTGCATAATAGCTTTTATAGACAAAAATCCTAAGATTCTCTCTCCCTAGAACTTTCCACGTCGCCTCCATAGATGACTAATGAAGCGGATAGCTATGTTCCATTCTATTGGTTAGAATCATAATGCATTTGTGCTCTATTGTCAACTAAATAAAATATTCTTAATTTAAACAATTTTTTTTTGATCGGTAAATGTAAATATATAGATCAAAAATATGTCATGTACAAGTACACCGGGCATACCCAGGCGAGACAATGTCCATAATCAAATACAAGTACTCCGGGCATTCCCAGGCAAATCAATGTCCAAAAACATACAAAAAAGATCAAAGATCAAAATACTAATAAACACCATGTTCCATTCTATTGGTTAGAATCATAATGCATTTGTGCTCTATTGTCAACTAAATAAAATATTCTTAATTTAAACAATTTTTTTTGATCGGTAAATGTAAATATATAGATCAAAAATATGTCATGTACAAGTACACCGGGCATACCCAGGTAAGACAATGTCCATAATCAAATACAAGTACTCCGGGCATTCCCAGGCAAATCAATGTCCAAAAACATACAAAAAAGATCAAAGATCAAAATACTAATAAACACCATTAGCAAGAGAATCATAGAGAATCAAAACATTCGGATACAAAACGAACATTGCTTTGTATACGTGTGTTTTGATTTTCCTAACAATGGATTCAACTTGCACTTTCGTACCATCAAAAATACAACAATTCCTAGCCATCCAAATGTAGTAGACGGTAGTAGCAAAAGCAATCCGTTTAACACGGCTCGACCAACTCTTCCTCCGCGCTTCTTTTTTCAACCATTTAAAAGTGCTCGGTAAAGTAGACATGGAGCACCTAATACCTAACCAAAATCTGATCTGTTTCCATACCTCGGAAGTGACACGGCATCTAAAGAACAAGTGCTGGACAGATTCATCCAGTACCTCACAAAGTGGGCAGATTCGGTCCATTTCCAAGTGCAATAGCTTGTCCCTCGTCTGGAGCTTTGAATGGGCAGCTAACCATAAAATAAACGCGTGTTTGGGGGTGATGGAACCATCCCAAACCGTTCTGGACCAGAGAAGAAAACCCCCCTTCGGCCTGAAGAAGTCAGAAGCTGCTGAAGTAGAGAAACGCCCACATTCTGTCCAGCTACACAATCTGTCCATTGCTGAAAAACTGTCCCCTTGGACAGCAATAATGCTGTCCCGGATGTCAACCAGCTTCTTAATGAGTGGGGAATCTTGTTTCTTCACGCAATACACCCAAAAATCTGTTCCTTGAAGGTAGACTCCATTTATCCATTTAATCCAAAGTGAGTTTTTCTTGCAATGGATATTCCAAAGAATTTTTGAAAGGAGTGCTAAATTCCAACATTTCAAGTCCCTAAAATCGAGTCCCCCCTCAACCTTTGGGAGGCAAATAGCGTTCCAAGCAACCAAATGTTTCTTACCCCCCTCCCTAAAGGAAACTACGATAAAGACTATTGATTTTAGAAATTACCGTAGCCGGGATAGGGAGGATAGAAAGCCAAAAACATTCCACACCTTGAAGCACGACTCGCACAAACTCGATCCTACTTGCATATGATAGAGAGGAAGTCGACCAAGAACTAATATAAGATGAGATTATATTTGTGAGCATATCATAAGACCCAACTTTCAATTTTTTCGCCGCAAGTGGTACACCTAAGTACCTAAACGGCATGGAGCCAATGAGGAGATTTGTGAGAGCAAGAATATCCTCCAAATCTTTACCATGAATACCCGCAGTGTAGATGCAAGATTTCCCAACATTTATATTCAATTCCAACATGCCTCCAAAATCCGAAAGGCAATTCAATAAAATATCCAAAGACATGACATCCCCTCTAGCAAATAACATCAAGTCATCCGCAAAAGCCAAGTGTATGATCTTCAATTGAGCACACTTGGGGTGATAGTTGAAATTACTATTCGAAGTAGCCACCTTTAGCAATCTAGATACGTATTCAAGGCAAAAAATAAACAAGTATGGGGATAGAGGATCACCTTGTCGAAGACCTCTTTTGCCCTTGAAAAAACCATGAAGGCCACCATTTATCGCTATGGAATAAGATGGAGAAGTCACACATTCCATAATCCAATCAACAAAGATATTGGGAAACCCCAACCCTTCAAGAACTTCTTCAAGAAACTCCCAATTCACCGAATCAAAGGCCTTAGTAAGGTCAATTTTGAGAAGGCACCGTGGAGCAACACTCTTACGGTTATATTGTCTCAAAAGTTCTTATGCCAAGTGAATATTTTCAATCATACTCCGACCCTCAACAAATGTAGATTGAGCTTGGTCCACAATAGAGTCAAGCATAGGCTTCAACCGGGAGGCAAGTATCTTAGTGATTACCTTGTAAAAAACGTTGCAACATGCAATAGGCCTATAATCCCCCACCGAAGAAGAGTGAGTACCCTTAGGTACCAAGGCTAAAATGGTGTGATTAATTTGCTTGAGAAGAGAACTCGAAAGAAAGAATTCCTCAATAGCATCCATAAAATCATTACCAACAATGTCCCATGATTTTTCGAAGAAACAAGAAGTAAATCCATCCGGCCCCGGGGCTTTATCATCCCTAATGCTAAAAAGAGCTTCTTTGATCTCTTGCCTCGTAATGTCCCGAACAAGTAAAGAAGCATTCTCCTCTGACAACAACGGTCCGTTTCTTAGAACATCCACACTAGCATGCTGTCCAACAGTTTTTCTCCCCAATAATTCACTATAGAAGTGTGTGAATTCGGTTCCTACCTCCTCAAGAGAAGTAGAATAAAACTCGTCTCTCTTAAGTATAGCCGGGATGAAATTCCTCTTGATATTCCTCTTGGCCAAAGAATGAAAATACTTGTTACATTTGTCACTATTCTTCAAATGCACACACTTTGCTTTTTGATAATAGAAACTCCTTTCCGCTTCACAAAGAGTGTTTGCCTCTTTTCTCAAACGAACAACTTCAGATTTAAGGAGAAGATTTTCTCGGTCATTGTGCAATTCAACATGAGCCAAATCGAGTCTATTGGAAGCACATGCGGCTCTAGAGGAAATGTGAGCGAAATGTTTGTCATTCATCTTCTTAAGCAATCCTTTGAGGCTATGAAGTTTCTTGCAAAGAGAAAATTGCTTGGTGCCAACAAAAACTTTACTCCAACCAAGAGACACCAAATCAAGGATCACATAATTTGAGTAACGCGAGTTTCCCCGGAAACCTTCCGGCAAAGTATCCAACTAAACCATATCCCCATGCATTTTCAATATCATTTTCATCACATTCCCCCAACACAACCTCGTTCGATTGATTATGGAAGGTTTTCAACTTGATATTTTCCTCAATTTTGCGGTTATCCTTGAAAAGGTTGACCCATGGGGGTTTTTTTTCTCGATACCTCCATCAACGCTATTCACATTTTCAGCATTATTATTCATTACTTTAACCGAATTTGATTCAAAATCAGATTGGTCAGATTCCGTATCCTCCTCACCAAGAGTTAAAGAAACGCTCGGTGAAGGCAAATTTGTCACCTTATTCTCCCCCGATAAAACTTTCGATGGGGATGCAACAACAATGTCCTCAACAAGAGACAATCAACCAGGTTTAATAATAAGGGAGGGACGTCCACTTTTAACCTTGATCTTACCCATGATACGAAGAAGATAAAATCCACACAAAACTGCCCAAGGGGATCGGCAAGGAACAAAGTGCCAAAACAGGCCAAAAATGACCCATCCAGCAAGAAAGGTTCAACCAAATAAACCAACCAAAGGCAGAAAAATTTATCCTAGCAAACCGGCAGAAAAATTTACATCCAAAAATAACCCACCAGAATGTAAACCCGGCCAAATGAAATTGACGTCAAAGGCAGAAAATAAGATTCCAGCAAAGACAGAAAATAATCACCCAACCAACCTGGAGTAGACGTCAAAAAGGGAGAGTGGACGGTCCACCAGAAAGAAATGAACAAACCCAGGAAGCAATAGTCCAAAATGAACTCCAGCAATCCGGCAGAAACACCCAAAGACACAAAATAATCAAAGGCAGAAATAATCACCCAGCAATAAAAATTGACGTCAAACAGGAAAAGGCACAAACTGGCCCAAAAGAGAGAAATCCAGAAGTCCAGCAAAACACGGCCCAAGGAATAATAATTGAGCCCAAACTAAACTGTCCAGAGAAGGCCCAACAAAACAGAATAGAGAAGCCCAGCAAACTTAACAAAACCGGCCCAAGAGAATGGACTATGACCGGCCCAATAAGTAAGCCAGCAAAGATGGCCCAAATAGAAAAGAGACGGCCCAGTAATAGAGCCCAGCAACCAAGAAGGACAGCCCACGTAGAAGAGGGATGAAAGCCCAGTAAACTGTCCAGAAATAAAAACCCAGCAACCTGTCCAGAAAATCCAACCCAGAAAATACAAAGCAACCGGCCCAAGAATATGGGCTTGGGCACAATCCAGCCCAAGGGAAGCAACACACTCCAGATTAAAACAGGCCCAAAGGATGTCCAACAAGGAAACCACAATAAGCCCAAGAGACCGTCCAGGAAATTAAAATTGAAACAGCCCAAAGCAGTCCACAACAAAGAACAGGCCCAAATAAAATAATAACACGGCCCAAATAGACATACAACCCGCCCAGCTACCCACCCAACCGGGCCCAAAACATAAGTCAGCCGTGTCAGCCACCAACCCCCCGAGAATATTACACCAAAATAGGGTTGCTTGCTTCATATAATAACCCATTTCCTTGATAGTTTATGTCATACACTCAACTCTGGTGGAAAACTAACAGAATATTTAGAAAACAAATAAGAGCAATAACATAATATTATTTCTCAAGATTAACAATGATTGTCAATATAAATTATAAAACATTATAGATGCATACTCTTAAGGATAATCCTTGACAAAATTACATGCCATGAGATAGAGCTCGTTGGAATGTCCAAGCTCTATAGCTACTGCAAAATGCACTAGAGTAAATGAAAGGATCCTTCTCGAGAAATCTGAATTAAATCATGTGTATCGACACAAGTGGCATTGGTCTAGGAATAGTAGTATCCGACGAGTTAAATGAGAAAGGGGCGGTTTCATAGCTCTAGCTTGCTGCGTCAACTGGCCCTTCATCATCCTTCTGTGAGGTAGCATCATTCTGTTCAAACAAAATAATCAACCCAAATTGACGTTAGTTGAAAGCATTTCACATCTCTCAACAAGTGTTCAACCCCTGTTCATAAGCAATGAAATGAGCGTCTCCTCAGAAACCTATGCTTATGCCTCTCTTACAAATACATCTAATACAACACCAAGAATCCCTCTTAGATAATAAGACTCCGCTAGCTAGAAAAGCCAAAGTAGCTACAGCAGAGCATGTTACACAGATTGATAATACTAAACAGCAGATATGGGAAAGGGAATGTTCTCCATTTTTTTTTTTTTTTTTTTAACAACAGCAGTCTCAACTCTGAATTTTAAAAATTACGTCATACACTGAATTTATCAATATCAGCATCATAAATTGAAAACCACGATGATAATTCACAATAAAAAAACCAAATATACAGAAACTTATGCACAACTGATGACTTAGCTTAAATAATTCATAATTTAATATGAATTACCATCGTCTTCCCTTGATTGTTCGGAAGATTGACTGGAGTAAGCTGTGAATGAGGGATGGAGGAGTTCCAAGTGGAGGTGCAAACAGTGGCGAAACTAGTAGGGGTTGTGTCGGTGCCGCTGGCAGCTATAATTGAAGGCTCTACGTGACGGAGAAGCCACTCAATGGTCTACCCATCAGTCTTGTGGCAGAGTTCACGGATGATATGAAAACCCCTGGTGGCACAGATTATAGGCTTGCACAGATTATAGGCTTGCACATGTTACGGCCTCAGTCGTCGACCTTGCTGTTGTGGTCCTCGGCAAGAGGCTTATTCACTTGCAAGCCACAGTTGGTTATGGTGGTGCCTTCCAGTGACAGCGGTGTCTGCCTCTAAGAAGGATCGATAATGTCAAAAGAGGAGGTGATGAGAGACGGGTAAGAGGTGGAGACGAGAAAAGAAGGAAAAATTAGGACTAATTAGATTTTGGTGAGTTTTTCTTTTTAGCAACGTTTGATCTATGTTGTAAAAATATTCCACTTTTCGTAACGTTCATTTGACGTTCAATGAACATGGTAAAAGTTTCACTTTTCGCAGCGTTCAGAAAGTTATATATTAAAGGTTTCAACAATGAGCGCTAAATGTTGTTAAAGAATTATATTTTAACAACAATCAGCGAACATTCAATGAACTTGCAAAAAGTGATGTTGGCAATATTTATTCAAAAAATGTTGCTAAAGCTCAATAAGGTTAACCAATCGTAACATTCACTTATTAGAATGTTGTCATAGACTCCTTTAGCAACATTCATTCAATGAATGTTGTCTTTTGAGTGTTGCAAAAGAGCATTTTTGTTGTAGTGTTTGTAGTGTATGTGAGTTCTCAGTGTAGACTTATGGATGGCCACCATTTCTACAATTTTGTTGTAACTTTTCAATTGCAAAATTGATTTAGCACGAACACAAATAATAATAATAATAAAATATAAATATAAAAAAATCTCCCGAGGAAATATCGCTCAATGGTGTCATATTTTTGAAACTTTTATAACAAGGATACAAATTTGCGTAGCATTAGTTTTTGAGATTTAGGAAGTGAAAGCCGTGTCAAAATTACAAGATTTCTCTTCAATGTTTGAAGAAACTAATATATCATTTTTTTCATTCAATTTTTTACAATATGAATAACCGTGAGAAGACACTTGTATTAATCGTACAATGATTCCAAAATATTCAAGAAATATATAAAAGATCACTAAAAATTTTTTTTAATAAGAAATCATCAAACTAACCAGGGCGGCATTCACCGAAAGAAACAAGACACCTACTAATATTTGTGCATGTAGTATAAAAGTTTACTTCTAAAAAATAATTATAAGTTAAAATATTAAGTGTACTTAAAAATAAGTAAATTACTTTTAATACTTATTTATTTTATTCTCTTCCAAAATATCAAGAAATACATCAATTGGACAGTTCGTTCAAATCAATGCACCTCGAATTTTGAATCACACGAATCACAGTACATTAGGCTTTGAGTAGATAAAAGGTAAACATAAAAGGAATCATGCTAAATGTACACAATTGATTCATCAAATTCTATCATAAATTACAATTGGCATCATTTCATTGGAAGTTACCAAAATAAATAAATAAATAGAATCATGCAGGTGTGCTGCCAAATCAACATATGTGAAGGAAAAACATGTACATAAGGCTTTTTCCACATAAGGGATGGAAGGATGGACCTATTCATTGTCCAAAGTACTGTAATTTGAGTGGTTCAAAATCCAATTTCTATTGATTTAAGTGGATGTGGGCATAACAGTTCAATTTGAAGTATTTCTCTAAAATATCACAAATATTCTACAAGAAAAAGATTATTTTCAACCAAAAAAGATGGACTCGGTCCAAGTAAATATCTTGGAAGATCAATATGCAAGAAAGAAAAGAAAGAATTCCTTCATAATCTTTCTGATCATTTTGTTTGCACTTACTATCTCCATAACATTTTGTCTTAGAAAAATTGAATAAAGCTAATTAGTCAGGTTTAAAAACAGAGACTGAAGAGACAGATTAATGTGTTAGAAAATGAATAGGTGTTTTTATTTTAATTTTTCTAATTGTCCAATTATACGTCGACATGCGTCCCATCTAAATTTAAGTCTGGATGTGTAACATGATTGAGAAATTTTATATGGACAAGATTCAAAAATATATGAAAAGGATATATTTTACTATTTACCACGATTCTCATTGGCAATGAAGATAGTTGAATATATTTTTGAGCATTTATGTCCAATTCTAGTATAAATTATATTTTTCAACCACTTTCATTCATATAATATTCCAAATGAGAGTTCAACAAATTCTACGTTTACATGGTATTCAGATCAAGCTTTTTGGGTATTGGCTTAAACAAATTGATAATGTTCATAGCTTCTCGAAAAATTCTAAAATTGTTCTTTATCACTTCTTAGAATCTCATGTTCCAAATGATCTCTTCCAATGTTCTGATCTACATAATTGGTATATCCTTTCAATTGTTAACTCAATTATTTAGCACAAACACAAAAATTCTCAAGAGGAATTTCACTCGATGGTGTCATGTGTTTGAAACTTTTATAGCAAGGATTCAAATTTGCATAGCATTAACTATTGAGATTGAGGAGGTAAAAACCATGTCGAAATTACAAGCTATTCTCCTCAATGTTCGAAGAAATTAATATATCGTTTTTTGTAATCAACTCATTAGATAAAAACATAAAATATCTACCAAATTTTATGAGATGACCAATCTTTTCAACTTTCCATATAAACTCAAACAACACCAAGTAGTCCCTATACCATGTATTCACTAAGATCATTTCCAAATTGGCTGCAAGTTGGAGAAGGAATTGTGCACTCACATGTCCAAAAGCATTAAAAATAATAAATAAGATTGTGACAAAACATATATAGTTCTCATACCCTACATATGATGAAGAAAATAACTCATTCGTTCAAAAAATTTGTATACAAGCCTATATAAATGCGGTCAAAAGATAAGAGATAATCTATTTCTAAAAGTAGTGTATAAAATGTAAATATACATTTATAATTAGATACTACGCTGATATGATCCGGGATGGGCTCCAATTTACCAAGAATTTTTCAGATTCTTGCGCACAAATTTTATTTAATTAAAACTCTTAATTTGGTAATTTTATACTATTAGGATTCCTTTAGTCAAGTTTTACCATGTTTAATGTTAGTTTTCCAATTTAATTAAGTTTCTATATTTTCCATATAAATAGGATTTTTATTTTCATTGAAAAAGAACCGAAGACTTTATCATGATTTGAATGGAGATTTTTCTCTCGAAGCTTTTGCTTCAAAATACCGAACTTATCAAGAATTAATATCTTGTGGCGTTCAAACAAATCATTGGGTTAGATTCTTCGGGTTGTGTAATCAAAAGGTCATTCGCATCGCCGTTATCGTTGAGTTGTTTGATTCATTAATTCTTGGGGTTCAATCACAAATTCGGAGGAGATTTCAAGATTGTGTGATTAAGAGGTCGTTTGTTTCATATACGTTCGGTTGCTTAGTTCACTTTTGCGGGT